CTGGGGCCCGGCCTCCTCCACCCCCTCCCCTGTCACCTCTGCCATGCCACCCCTGTACAGTTGATACCCATGTAAGAGGCCCCCCAGAGCCCTCACATGGGTACCGGCCATACCCCCCTGATGGCGGTGTTCTATCAAAGGTTGTGACTACGTTAGAATGTGTGACCGGTGACGGGGTCACACGTTTTAACGTAATCCCGCCCAGTTTTTCGGTGGTGGAATGTGTGACCGCCAATAGGTGAAGCATTCCAGCGCGTTCCCAGCCGTTCCAGGGCAGATCGGCATCGCAAATTGCATGTGCAGGTGAACCATTACACAAAACCCGCGCTCGGACTCACCCAGCCAGAGGATCGCAGCAGCCAGGGAGTTTCGAATCGATGTGTGCACTGCAGGGGGCGGGGCTTGTGACACACACACGCCTCCTGTGACTCACCTTCCCTCCCGCCGCCTGTTAGTATATAACTGATTCATTAGAACCAAAGAAAAGGAAACATTTTCAAATTGTTTCCAATAGAATTAGGTGAAACGGTTTTATTTCTTCTCTTTTAATAAGTCGCCCCCTCACTAAAAGATATGAACCATACGGATGACAAAAGGCCCACATTTCATGTCATAAGACAACAAACAAAAAGTGAATTTTCTATGTGACATTCTTTCCACCTGGCTTTGGCATATTTCGTTCTTCGGATTCGGGGCCAGTCTCTTTTTTTCAGGTTTCCTGGCAGCCTCTGGAAGATGGAAATATTCATACAAGCGGTTTGTCCATTGGCCTAGAGAGCGGATGTGTAGCCAGAGAGTGTCTGCGGGGGAAAAAAGAGTTCCATGAAAGCCCTAAATAGACCTGGACCTGGATTTTCAGCACTTTCGGATACACAGTTGGCAAATTTTCTTACCTGCCTGCTCAGGGGCACTGCTGATAGTAAATGGGTGCCATTCATACTTGGCAATGGCGGGTATGTTCAGGTATACATAGTCACCAGGCTTGTACTGGAATGATGGTGGTCTCTTAATAACAAGATGTGTCACCTTCATTCAGAGGGATGAGAAATAACACTGAAAAGATTAAAAAATTGCATACACAATAAAAAAATTTAGGTAAATTTGGTAAAAGCTTAAAGTTGAACTTGAAGCAGATATTAAAGACACAAAAAAAATGCAGCTCTGTATTCACTAAGACATCAATTAAGAAGAATTCCAGTTTTTATTTTTAATTACCCACTGCAGTGGGACTAACGAAAATAAAGAAGATATACTCACCTAATCCTTAGTCCTGCGGCAGTGACCACCCACCCCTCTCCCCCTCTGCTCCGGCTGCGGTATGTCCCTTGGCGTCCTCACGTCTAATGGACCTGCATTAGATGTGATGATGTCACGGGTCCTGTTACCACCGAAGCCAGGGGAAGAAGAGGGGATCGGTTTAACAGCCAGATGGGACTGAGGATCAGGTGAGAATTTCTTCTTTATTTTCACCCATAGACCAAAATGAGCACTTAACCCTTGCAGTATAATACTCTATAATAATAATAATAATCAGTCTGCTGCTTTTCCTTTCAGTGTCCAATCACAGCGTGGGGGAAGGGATAAGACCTATAGGTTTAATTTAACTGCAGCAGAGAAAAATCCCCCCATAGCATGCACCACCAGCACCCCACTACCCTTGGCTTCAGTTGGTGAAACGTCTATGGACACCACTGGCTACATCCAAACCCAAATCTCAACTCTTCCTATAAAAATCAGAATTACCCCACCCTCTCCCCCCTTCCAAGCCTCACTACTAATTCCTAATGGGACGTGGGGCATCACTGGTCTACATGGAGACTCAGGAGGCAGAAACGGCAGAGCCAAGCTTGACTTTTACAAGAATAGTCCAGATTTGCATGTAACTTCAGCTGCCTATATCTCTGATCCTAGCAATCATTTGACATGCAGTTCAAGTCTTCTTGGGTATTTGTATTCATAGCTCGAACCGGCGAGTTTATTAGGGCAGAATTTCTGAAAGAATTACACATCTATAGTGGAAGCACCTTGGAAGGTAGCAAGTTCACCTCTACGATATACAATCCACCAATACGTGATGCAGCCACTCCTAACAGTTTCTCCAGCGCGAACAGGAGTCCTGGCACCAAAAACCACTTCCAGAATTTTGGGGTGTGAAGGAATAACAGAATCCAGATCCAGATATAGGACAGATGCGTCCAGTAAAATACCTGTGGAAGGAACACGACTGATTTTATTGTGGTCTTATCCATAGTTATTTTTACCAAATGTTACCAGGTCTGATCACAAAAGGGTGAAGAGTTGGGAGAAGGGAACAATCTAGGACAACATAGCTGATTTGCAAAAAATCTCCAATTCAGCTCACTTTCCAGTTCAGCTATGTTGTCCTAGATTGTTCACTTCTCCTGCCTTCTCCAGACTCTTCACCCTTTTGTGAATAACCCTGTAAATGATCATATAAAAGCAAAGATTTAAGACAGACTAGCAAAGCTGGAATTGTGATGATGAGTGGAATCCGATGTTTGGCATGTGGATTATACAGTGTACAACACCGAGTACTGTAAAGGGTGTGCGTAGAGCAGGTGTTAACAGCGTGTGCACGAACCTGCGCGCCCGTGTATTGTGCTCTATGGGCTCTTTAAGCTGTAACATTCAGGCCTCAGATGCTGAGTGATCGACAGCCTTCCTGTGTCCCAATTGTTTATCTGTTACTGACCCGGCTTGCTTGACCTTTTTCCACTACTTTGTGCTCCTGTGACCTTGGCTTGTTTCTGGACTACTGTTTCTGTCTGCCACATTGCACCTCGCTGCCCGCAGGTCACCGACCCTGGCCTGTTAATGACTATTTTCTTGCTTGTTGACTGGTACTGCTCTGCTCGCCTGTTGACGACCCGGCTAATCTCACTATGGCACTTCTGGAACTCTGCTTCCCTGGACTCATTGTCAGAGGCTGATCCTTCCTGTCAAGATGACATCTCCCTGCACTCTTACCCTGCACTTTGTGTCCCTGCGCACCTGGTCTGCTATCCAGCGGCTCTGAAAATGGACTCCACCAGGTATATGACACATATACTTTCAGATAACTGCAGGGTTTTTATTCCTTGCATACCTTATTTTTCTTTTCCTCCCTATTCTTCTCGTGGTAACCATTTTGACTATGGGCAGGATAATCCATCAAAATTCCTGGAACTCTGCGTCTGCCTCCTGGAATATGTGACAGTGCACATATAAATGCCTGTCCTTCAAGATCCTGTGAGATTTTGTAGTTTACAGATGAAATTTCCCAGGAAGACCCTGGTGATGCAACCTTCCCAGGATGCATCTCTGAGGCCAGGACTACATCACCAGTGCCTCACTGAACCAGAAATTGGAAAAACTGTAGTAGTAAATAAAAGCAAAACATTTTGCTTTACTAATGAATGTCAGAGTTCATATCAGCATGCAGAGTTGCATACTGATGTGATTTTTAGTGAAAGGGGGTATAAGTCGGCTTTCATGTCCAGCAAAGTCTGCAGAGCGGTGCAGTGTCTGCTGGTTATGAGTGTGTTTGCCGTTCATTTTGCTTGACTGATTTGGTGCAGTGACACACTGGGGGTCTCAGCTACCGTTGTGATGTGCGGGGTCCCTTGTGTGTCACTGTGCCATTAAGGAGATTTGGCTGCCTCCTGGCGAACCTGCACCCAATTTATCTTTTGCTACATTTGCTCCAAGATGGAGACTCTCATAGGTTAGAGTTACGACCGCACTACACAGAGGGGCCTTGACGAGGCAGTGCGGCTTTCACAGATTCTGCAGACGTGTATCTAAAACCTCTGTTTTTAAACTTAGCGGTTAGACAGGTTTTTTTTTTTTGCATGCTGGCTTGTGTGTGTCCTGGGAAACATTTCGCTGTTGTACTGTGTAAAGCCCTTCCATGTGCACCTTGCTTTAAAGCTGGTAATGAGTTAATGAGTGCGTTTGCCATTTGTTTTGCTTGTCCAGTGCTGGGCACACAGCACAGATTACACAGTGGAATGGAGTAGAGAACAGACAACACAACATACAAAGTAAAAGGAGAACTATGGGGTAAGGCTTTTCCCCATAGTTCTCCTTAGGGTAACGGGAGGACACAAACTAGCGTCCTCCCGTCATCCTAGGCTCAGTATACCACGAGCTGTAGCTCGCGGTAGCCTGAGACACCGCAGTATAAGCGGATCCCGACAATTATGTCTGGATCCGCCCAGCTGCGTGACTGACAGCTGGCTCTGCCTATCTAGAGGCAGAGCCAGCTGTACCCACCCCCTCCTCCGTCCGTTCCACCAGTCAGCGCCGGAGGATCGGAGCAGGGAGGGGGGAATCCAGCCCCTCCCCCTGTCACGACAGAGAGCCGTGACAGGATCGAGAGGTGAGCAAACGTCAGTATGTGTTCGCTCACCTCCCGATCTACTGAGCCGACCTGTGACAGTTTCATTGTCACCGGTCGGCTACAACTATGAGGTTAGTGAAAAGCACTCACCTCATAGTTCTCCTTTAAATCAACCAAACTAAATTTCCACTCTGTTCCTTCAAATGTTTTAGTCACTAATGCCAAAATCAAGCATCTATTTAACCCCATTAAATATTAAAAAATCAAACGGTTCCAAAAAACTATTTTTCAAATGAAATTCTACTGATGTAAGGAAGGAGGGGAGAAGATTTAGAGGACAACTGTAATTTTTGTCCTTTAAACACCCATTTTCTATAAAGAAATACAGATCACACGCTTATATGCACAGTATGTCTGTAAATAAATTATCATGAGATAGAGTTGATTTGACCTATTATCTGTTACAGCGCTCTCATGTTCCCAGGTATCTTAACACTAATAATAATGTAAATTGTGTATACTATGTTTGCAGTATAGATCCGCTCGGTTCACATTGAGAAGCAGATACGAGTCATATAAATTGATCAACCTCAAGGTATAAACCTTTACTAACCTCAAAGTGCCCTCCTTTCCTGACGAAGGTGCTGGAGCAGACAAGAGTCAGGCAGATGAGCAGCTGCAGCAAGATTCCTGTGATGGAGGCGCTCCCATATACCCATCCAATGCCAGGCCGCAGGGTGAGGAAATACTCCCAGAAAGTAAATGATCCCGGATATATGGATTTCTTTACTAGGGGGACAAAGTCACATCACTAAACTAAAAAAACAACGCTAACCTGAGAGATGTAACTTATGTGCAGAATTTGTAACAATAGTCAAAAAGCTGCAATTGCAAGACTTTGTTCCTTTTACAGGGGCAATAATTGTCTGTAATACTTTTATATCAATACTTGTCTGAAATACTTTTATAGCAATACTTGTCTGTAATACTTTTATATGAATACTTGTCTGTAATACTTTTATATCAATACATGCCTGTAATACTTTTATATCAATACTTGTCTATAATACTTGTAACTAGGGTTGCACAGATACCAAGTACAGGACTCGGTACAAGTATGAATACATGTACCGATACTTTTGAGCTCCAAGACTAGACTAGAGAAAAATTCAAAAGTTAGGAGGCAGCTGTCATTTGTAAGGAGCACACGGAGCTCATGGGATTTGTACATCTCTGTTTTAATGTATGATTTTGTTTTTATAAATATAAATAAAGGGATGCACAGATACCGGTTTTGAGAGTACGAGTACTGGTACTTGCCGAGTACTTACAAGTACGAGTACTGATATATTTTTGTTTATTGTCATGTGACAGTTTTTCTAGAACAATATCGACTAATGATTTCAGGACAGTGGTGGAGCGCCAGAGCCAGGTCACAGCTGCAACCTCTGCAACCCTGGTAGTTCTCATGAAAATGCCAAGTATCAGCACTGGTACTCGAAAAGTATCTGTGCATCCCTAGTTGTAACAATACTTGTCTGTAATACTTTTATATCAATACTTGTCTGTAATACTTTTATAACAATACTTGTCTGTAATACTTTTATAACAATTCTTTTCATATCCTATATATTATGCCTGCTGTCTTTTCTGCTCCCTGGGCAGCAACAGCTCCCTAGTTATTCCTCTGGCTCAACCCTTTTATCTACAGGCACAATCTGATTGTATTCCAGTCTAAGGCATATGCAATAAAAATGTTCACCTTTTTAAAGTGTTGTAACCCATATTAGCCAATCAGAACAATCACTTTTTAAACTGATTATAGTTATGGTTATTCTGTCATGTTGGATTCCTGGCCCCACTCCATAGAAGCCATGGTTTATCTACACTGCACTGATGATGGTCAAACAGCCTGAAACATCTGTATGTAGTTTGGAATAAATGGCTCCATTATATTAGGCTGTATTTGCACTGTACACCAGCAGTTTTGGATGTGTATCTGACCAATGGGGTGTAAAGCAATGATTTGCATGACTGTGCCCACTGTCCTGAAATGGGGAATAATCCTCAGATTTTTGGGATATATGATAAAATGAGACATGTATAGAGATCTATGGGGGTGACAACTATACATGGAAGACACGGGGAGGGGGAAGGCACGGGGAGGGGGAAGGTATACCTTCTCTTCTAAGAAGGCTTTACTAAGCTACTAAACAAAGTAAAGGAAACTGATGAACCAATGTAATTAGCTGCTATCATTGCAGGATCACATCACTGCAGATTTGTATTGAACAAAAACTCAAATAATTATTCTCTACTAGATATGTGCATTCGGATTTGGACGAACCTGCAAATAAGCAAAATTCAGTTGAATAATAACACGTTTTTTATATGCCCGAATATACTAAAACGATATTCAACATATAAAGATTTATTATCAGAACGTGGGGCGGCCATATTGGCCACCGGCGTGTTGTGCGCATGCCGTCCACCATCTTGGAGGTGGGGTGCATAATGTCACATGACGCCATGCGTTTGCGGTGTTGGGTGACGTTATTTGCAGAACGACCGGTGGCCAAATCGGCCGCTAGCATGTTCTGCGCATGCGCACCACCATTTTGGAGTATATCTTGGTATACACCAAGATGGTGGCACCAACATATTCGGGTACCAACATCTTAGTGTATACCAAGATATACTTCAAAATGATGGCATGCATGCGCAGAACGCGCTGGCGGCCGATACTGCCACCTCTCTGCAATTTCTTTGTGCGGTTTCGTATTCTGAGGCTCATTGCCTCTGAATCCAAAACAGCATTAATATTCGTTTCCATTGATGAAACAAATGAAAATGTTTTTCATTTTTTTTATTTGTTTCGTCCGAAACAAACATTTTTGCCGTGCACATGTCTATTCTCTACACTCTTTAGGTCTCGTTCACACCTAGGCGTATTGCATATGCGCGTCTGTCACGCGTTTTTTTTACCGCGATGTTTAATCTTGTTTAAGAATATATTAATATAATGAATTGTTTACATGCTGTTTGCACTTACTGAAATTGATCACATGGGCAGCTGTGTGGACCACTGTAAAAACGAACACCACATATCCAACCAGCTCATGCAGGAAGATATTCTGGTCTAGTGGAAGGAAATGTGCAACAAATGTAGTACGGAGCCGCGTCAGACAGCGGCGGAGCATCAAAACCTGAAGGTAGAAATTTAGATGTCCTTGTTGACAATAACAATAATTATCCTTGTCATTATGTCTGTCTTACAAGCATTCCAAATACACACTCTTCCCATCCCAAATGCTTCATATGTCTGATAGCAGTGATTCCTAAAGTGTATCTAAACCCAAGCAAATTCTACATATTGCAGCTTACCAGTACTCAGATGTGGTGACTGCATTTGTTTTCTTATTTTCCCCTTTTATTGCATGCTATGATTCTGCCAGTAACACACTTCCTGTCCTTAGGTGACAACGCAACTCATTGCAGTGACCCAAGGCTGCTGAATACCCAAACTGTGACTGCATTTGATTGGATTCAGTCACTGTTCAGCTGACAGTTTTCCGCCCAGCTCCTTAAAAAAAAAGAAAAGTAAACTGAAAAATGCACTTTTGGTGGTGCCAACAAAAGTCAGCAGCACTCAATTTATCATGGATGGGGAGAAATTCAAGCACAGCTTGAACTGTATTTCCACTTTTGCAGTCAAATTTAAGAAACCCCCACAATATATGTGTTCTGTGTTCCTGTGTTCCTGTGTTCTTATTTACACAGCAGAACGAAAAATATTTCTTCTCTTTTAGAAGTTTTGTTGCAGCAGGCAACATGGCAGATTTAAGGTTTTTTGAGCACATTCACAGTGATCTGTTCTTATAGAAAGACTTAAGTGATATTAAAGTCAAAAGGTGTTTAGATGATTGCAAATGCTAGGGATGTACTGACACCGATACTAGTACTCGTACTCGCCCAAATGCTCCCGATGCCTATCCGGATACCTGAACTTCCGGTATCAGGAAGCCAGGCAGCGAGTTATTACACACCGCCCGGCTTCCTAAATTGCCCGGGAAGCTGCCTTCATGCTCCCTCATCACCAGGGTGCATGGAGCTGGCTACCCGGCCAATCAGGAAGCCAAGGGCGGGTAATGACTCACCCTCAGCTTCCTGATTGGCAAAGAAGCCGGCACCAGGTGACCAGGAAGCATGGAATGACTCGCCTCAGCAATCAGGAAGCAGGGCGGCAAGTTCCTGATTGGCCAGAAAGCCGGCTCCATGCTTCCTCATCACCTGGTGATGACTAATCGGTGATGACTTGCCGCCTGGCTTCCTGATTAGCCGGGAAGCCGGGCAGCGAGTCATTATACGCTGCCCGACTTCCTTAATGGGACTTTCGGTATTTGGTATCGGCAAGTACAGAGAAAAATGGCGGTACTCCTACTTGATACCGAAAAACTGGTATTGGTGCATCCCTAGCAAATGCTGATGAAATCACTTACAATGGATGCTGCTCCTTAATGTCTAAAAGTTTTAGCTTCCTGCAGAATCAGCTGGTCCCCTGAGCACTGGCCCTGATATCCTCTGTTAGGATGGCTCCTTTCCCTTGCAGGGTCCTATGACGCCACCCTTGTGTGTGCTAGTAAGCTGTGTGTGTCTCTACACACACACGCGGACACAGAAATAAAGTCACTCCCCACCCCTCCTTCCCACCCCTCCTTCCTCCAAGCTAGTAGGTGGACATTTGCTGAAGACAGCTCTTTCACTTGAAGTCTTGTACTGAACAGGAAGTTCAGGGATGCCGAACTGAGAGAGTTGAAGCTGTTATGAAACATGATGACGGTAAGTGCTTGAGCAAAATTTTAAAGAAAAACTTTGCTGGGCCAGGTATATTTAATCTGGATTCATTATTTTTAAAAAAGGTTTAAAGGTTAGGACTGCAATTTGAGGATTGTGCTTCTCTCATTAATTTCTTTCACATACAATGGAGAAGCCAGGGTTGTAATCCTTTAACCCCTCATCCCACACAGCCCCTCCTAACATTACAGGAGAAGGAAAAGCAAGTCAAGGTTTGAATCCTTTAAGAAGCCAAGAAACTGTAACCCAGGAAAAGCAATGTAAACGACAAGAAGCATGTTCTAAATATTGTATTAGCTTATGTTATGCGAATGGGAACATGTAACAGATATAAAATAGGTGTTATCCCAATTTGGCAACGAAAGTAGAAATACACTTTAAGTGTTCACAGAAAAAGGACCTGGGCAGTAAAGCCGGAGTAGGACTTTAAAGTTGTAATAAACTCTCAAACTTTTTTCGATAATGAATCCATATAAAAAAAAATATACATTGCCCAGCAAAGTATTTCTTTACATTTTTTGACCAAGCTTTTACAGTCATCATGTTTCCAAACAGCTCCAACTTTCTTAGCTCTGCTTCCCTGAACTTCCTGTCCCGCACAAGATCACGAGGGACAGAGCAATCTCCAGGAGCCGTCCATCTACTAGCATTAGGAAACGGAGAAGGAAGCAGGGGAGTAACTTGCCTTGCTGTGTGTGCTTACTAGCACACAAGGGTGGCTCCATAGGACCTTGCAAGGGAAAGGGGCCACCCTAAAACAGGATATCAGGGCCAGTGCTGAGGGGACCAGCTGATTCTGCAGGAAACTAAAACCTTTAAAAATCAAGGAGCAGCATCCATTGTAAGTGATTTCATCAGAATGTGAAATAGCTTAAAAGCCTTTTGACTTTAATAACACCTTAATGTAAAATACGACCAATAAGGGAAAAAAAACACGTATACCTCTTTTCTGATTCCAAATGTATTTAACTATGAAATCAATTAAGAGTTCAGATTTAGAAATCTAAAACTGGTACAGAAACCATGTTGTATGGACTAAAGTATAATTAGAAAATGAGTAGGTTTCCCCTTTTGGGGTTGAAGTGTTTGTGGTCATAGTTCAATTCATAGCGAGGAGTCACCTACCACAATAAAGGTGCAGTTGAAGTTCAGACACTGACCACAACCCTTGGCGAGCATGATCCATCCTCCAAGACTGGCATGGTTGACAGCAGCGAGGGTAAAAAGTAGAACGTTGACACAGCAGTAGACGCACATGAAGAGAACCTTGCTGCGGTTGTTGTGCCAGTAGCTTGGAGTCAGGTAACGAGGGGTGCGACTCTTCTTTTTTACTGTTGGTGGCTTCAGCCAGTTTGCAGCACTGAGATAAATAAATGGAACAGAACATGTGTTATGTATTTTAGCTTTTAGAGCTGAACTGCAGGAAGGTATAAAAGACACAAATGAATGCAGCTCTGTATTTATGAATAAATCATTAAATGTATTTTTGTATATGCAAGAAGTGTAAGTACCTAAATTTGACTTGGTATCAGCGTCTTGCTGTCCCCTATACCTCTGGTGCCCAACTTTCTGCCCGGGGGCAGCATATGGCCTTTTGGCTTGGTATCAGCATCTTGCAGTCCCCTATACCCCTGGCGCCCAACTTCCTGCCCGGGGCAGCATACAGCTATTTGGCTTGGTATCAGTGTCTTGCAGTCCCCTATACCCCTGCCACCCAACCTGCTGCCTTGGAGCTGCAGGCGGCCCTTTGGCACTTATTATGCAGCCTTTGGGGCCCCTGCAGACAGCAATCTGTGTTTTCCATACCTATGTGCTTTTGAAAGCCAATGAAGAAAAAATCTTCTTTGGGCTGTTTTGTAATAGTTGAACGATTTGGGTTTATTTTTTCATACTGCCTTACTCTTGACCTGTCCATCCCCTTTCTCTTTTTGTTTACCTCTGATCTTTTATATTGTATGTAGCGCCCTTGGAGTCGCTGTGACCGTTGTGGAGATTGCCTCATGGAACTCATCGCATCGGACCTACCACCGAGTGTCTACCGGGTGGATTGGGGGACCGGACGCTGTGAGGAGGCGAAGGAATTGAGCGGACCCGCGTCTGTGAGGTACCTGCCTCAAGTTCCGTCCACTACCAGATCGATTGATGCCGACTACAGTGACTATTCGTCTACAGAAGGGCAGACTCTGATCGGTTTTCTGTCCGTGAGTGTCGGTGTGCTGTTGCTGATTAAAGGGGAATGGCAGCTGGAACCAACAGGTAGGAGAACCTATTTCAATATTCAGCGGCTCCTTCGGGGGTGAGCGCTACACGTATATTGCTGAAAGAATGATCAGATTGGGCACAAGTCATTTTTAATGGGGCTGCAAGGAGCAAACATGTGGAAGCATAGATTTACAAGGGGTCTGGAAGAACCGCAATCTCTAGCAGTCTCATGTAATGTGTCACTAGTCTACGATTGCCTCCTGAAGCATTTTCCTAGTCTGGAACATCTCCTGTAGCATGCCTGCAGTCTCTGACCATTTCTTGTAGTAATCCCATAGACCGAGGGTAGGCAACACTAGCCCTCGAGCTCTTTTGGCAATACAAGTTCCATGAAGCATTGCTAGACTGACAGCCACAGGCATGACTCCCAGAGGCGGAGATATAATGGGATTTGTAGTTTTACCAGCTGGGGTGCAGAGGTTGCGTACCCCTGCCATAGACTTTTACCATCTATTATTGAATGTCTGCAGTCTCTACCCATCTCTTGAAGCATGTCTACAGTCTCTGACCATCTCGTGTAGCATGTCTGCAGTGTCCAACCATTTCTTATAGTATGTCTCTCATCTCTGACCATATCTTGTAGCATGTCTGCAGTCACTGACCATCGCTTGCAGGATGTCTGCAGTCACTGGCCATCTGTTGTAGCACGTCTGCAGTCACTGACCATCTCTTGTAGGTTATTTGCAGTAACTGACCATCTCATGTAGAATGTCCGCAGTCACTGACCATCGCTTGTAGGATGTCTGCAGTCACTGACCATCGCTTGTAGGATGTCTGCAGTCACTGACCATCGCTTGTAGGATGTCTGCAGTCACTGACCATCGCTTGTAGGATGTCTGCAGTCACTGACCATCGCTTGCAGGATGTCCGCAGTCACTGGCCATCTCGTGTAGCATGTCCGCAGTCACTGACCATCGCTTGTAGGATGTCTGCAGTCACTGACCATCGCTTGTAGGATGTCTGCAGTCACTGACCATCACTTGTAGGATGTCTGCAGTCACTGACCATCGCTTGTAGGATGTCTGCAGTCACTGACCATCGCTTGTAGGATGTCTGCAGTCACTGACCATCGCTTGCAGGATGTCTGCAGTCACTAGCCATCTGTTGTAGCACCTCTGGAGTCACTGACCATCTCGTGTAGCATGTCCGCAGTCACTGACCATCGCTTGTAGGATGTCTGCAGTCACTGACCATCGCTTGTAGGATGTCTGCAGTCACTGACCATCGCTTGTAGGATGTCTGCAGTCACTGACCATCGCTTGTAGGATGTCTGCAGTCACTGACCATCGCTTGTAGGATGTCTGCAGTCACTGACCATCGCTTGTAGGATGTCTGCAGTCACTGACCATCGCTTGTAGGATGTCTGCAGTCACTGACCATCGCTTGTAGGATGTCTGCAGTCACTGACCATCGCTTGTAGGATGTCTGCAGTCACTGACCATCGCTTGCAGGATGTCTGCAGTCACTGACCATCGCTTGCAGGATGTCTGCAGTCACTGGCCATCTGTTGTAGCACCTCTGGAGTCACTGACCATCTCTTGTAGCATATCTGCAGTCACTGACCATCTCTTGTAGCATGTCTGCTGTCTCTGGTCATCTCTTCTGGCATGTCCATAGTCACTAACCATTTTCTGGTGCATATCTGCAGTCTCTGACCATCTCCTGTGCTAGGTCTGTAGTCTGTGAATATTTTCTGTTGCATGTCTGTAGTCTCTGACAGCTTCCTGTGGCATTACATTTACTGAATATTATGTGTGACCCTTTGGTGATGTCGGGTGTCACTCTTAAGGCTTCGTAAATCAAGCATGTTGGCCACCACTGCCCTATACACTTAGGATGGGAGAGGGGGGGCAGTCAGGTGTGCCGCATGTAAATGCATTGACAAGGAACATGATGAAGGAGGAGAGCTGAGTAAACAGTAGAATGCTGACACAGCAGTAGGTACACATGGAGCTTGCTGCGATTGTTGTGCCCTTAGGTTGGAGTCAGGTAACAAAGGTGCGACACGTCTTTATTACGGTTGGTGGCTTCAGCCAATTTGTGACACTGATAAAAATAATCTGTCACATAGTTTAGTTTTAGATCTGATCTCCAGGCAGATATAAAAGACACAAACTAATGTAGCTGGTGATTCATGAATAATTCATTGGATATATTTATTTGTAAATGTAAGCAGTGTAAGTGCTAATAATATGTATTTCTTTTGAGTCTTTAGCGCTTGCTTTCATTTTCTCAGCTTTATATTGAGCTTTATTACACATAGACACTCTGGCCTTTTGTAGCTTTTATGTATATTAAAAGCACATCTTTGGACAAGCCAAAAAACTACCCTTGCAGTGGGACTTCTCCCACACTGCAAGGATTACGTGGTAATTTATAGCTAGGAGCAGGGCCATACCTACAATGAGGCGGTTGCCTCAGGCCGTATCTCGTTGGGTCACATGGGGGAGCGGCAGGCCTCTCTGGCCAGTGCGTCCCAGGTTGCTAAAAACTCTTAGTAACTTGGAACGCTCTGACTGGTGTCCAACCCAGCTCCTGGCAACCAGCGACATCAGTGAGCTAGGCGGGATGCCGGACAGAGCCAGAGGTACTGTGAATTACCCCCTCTTCCCTGGTAACGTGCACCACCAGTACGCCATGCCCCCCCATAACTTGCCCTGCCATCGCTCCCCTTTACCACTACTAACCCTGCCTAGGGGACAGGAAAAAACAATTTTGCTTAATCTGATTCCCACTCTTGCCTGCTCCCTCTGTGCTGCCTGACTGCCCCCACAGTCTCTCCTCCCCTTTGCTCTGGTGGTCTAAGGACCCTCTGACGTCATCATGTCTAATGCAAGTCGATTGACTTGCATTAGACGTGAGGACATGGAGGGTCTTGCCACCAGCTGGAGCGGAGGGGAAGAAGAGGGGGGGTGATGACTGCTAGAGGAGCTGGGGGATCAGGTAAGTAAAAGTGCTTTAGTCCAGTCCCCTGGGCAGAAACGAGGACTTCATTCATATTACGGATTCTTGGATGGAGACAATGAAATATCAGAAGGAAAAAAGAGTCACTGATCATTATTTCCATATTTTATTTTCTATAAACACTACTTGCAAATCTTCTAACCTACACTTTTGCCAATATCTGCAAATATGTTGCGATTTAAAACCTTTGAACAACAGTGACACTAGATGGTCTAATGGGGGATAACACTCTATGCAAAAACCTGATCAGCAGATTATGTCTGCCAAAAGCGGTTTCATTTGTGCGTTTATATACCACTTTTCTTCTTATCTATGCAGCACATACATCCAACTTGGATTCAAATTTAGCTCCGAAGGCTAGAAGTGTTACCTAATCGTCAGGTTCTCCATGACTTCTGGGAAATGCTCCAGTTCTTCCTTTAGTTCCTGGAATGTAATGGAACCGCTATTGTCTTTATCAGCAGACTGGAAAAGTACCAGAGTCAAATCATTTAACTTTTCCTCAGGCAGCGAGATAGCACTCTCCAGTAGGCAAGACTTCAGCACAGTGCAGAGCTCATCTGGCTCAATGGAACCACTGCCTGAAATAATAAATGAATTGTCAATATTTTCACAGGAAACTATAATTAAATATGTCTGTTATGATACTGCAGATTAATACTGTAGTAATTTATCATGGTAGAGTTAGCAAAGTATAGTGTATAGGAAAGCAGAGAACTGCTCATAAGTCCTGGACTGTCGCTACGTTTACTACACAAGCTGAGGTCTATGGGCATACACGCATTAATGTGTACATTGATAGAAAATTGGCTACAGGAACGGGTGCAAAGAGTATCGATAAATGGCACCTTCTCGAACTGGGCTAGGGTCATGAGCGGAGTGCCGCAGGGGTCTGTGCTGGGCCCTATGCTGTTTAACCTATTCATTAACAATATTGGGGAGGGGGTAAACAGCCATTTATCAGTGTTTGCTGATGATACCAAAATCGGGAGGTGGAATAGACACTGAATCAGACACTACAAGACTGCAGGAGGATCTGGATAAAATAGGGGTGTGGGCAACTACATGGCACATGAGGTTTAATGTAGATAAATGTAGAGTTGTGCACTTTGGAGTTAAAAATAAGAAAGCCGATTACACACTAATTGGAGCTCCGCTGGTGAAGTCCGAAAGGGAAACAGATTTGGGGGTCATTGTAGACCACAGGCTGAATAACAGCACGCAGGGTAAGGCTGCGGTAAACAAAGCAAGTAGAGTCCTTTCCTGTATTAAGAGGGGAATGTTTTGCAGGGACAAGTCCATAATTGTGCCACTTTATAGATCACTGGTTCGGCCTCTTCTGGAGTATGCGGTCCAGTTTTGGGCACCAGTGAACAGAAAGGTATCCTTGAACTGGAAAGAGTACAGGGAAGGGCAACCAAACTCATAAAGGGGATGGAGGACCTGAGCTATGAGAACAGGCTACTAAAGTTAAACATGTTCTCATTGGAAGTAAGGAGATTAAGGGGGGACATGATTTTCATGTATACAATGTTCACCGGGGATAGCAACATTAGCAGCAAACTCTTTACAAATAACTCCATGACAAGGACGAGAGGCCGCCACTTAAAATTGGTGGAGAAAAAAATTTCAGCACAAGGGGCGAAGGGGGTTCTTCTCAGTTAGATCGGTCAAGGTATGGAACTCGCTGCCACATGCTGTGATTTTGGCTGACAGCGTGGAATCATTCAATAGGCGATTGGACGATTTCCTCAGAGACCATAATATACAGGGGTACAAGTACTCTTAAGATTGAGACCACACAGGGACCTATACATACTACACATCAGTAGGACCATACACATACATGAAATAGGTTGGACTTGATGCACATATGTCTTTATTCAACCTCAAATACTATGTAACTATGTCACGACCCACCTGAACTCACTACATTGCATCTCGCATCTTTACGGGCACCTACCAGCCACTCTATACATATTTGCAATTAGGAATGTATTACACCAAAACATTCGTAACCATTCACTAACTCCTCTAACCTAGTTAACTGGTAAAGAGTATTTGACTGCTGTAGGTTACCCGAACGTTAGCTTGAGTGTCCAGTTGTAAGGGGATCTTATTGTCAGAGTGTGTTTACTGCGGACGCCGGACGGTAACCTATACTCAAAAACTGCTGTCAGGATTACTTGAAAGAAAACTAACGGCTTTGCAAAATGAAAGTTTCATGGCAGCCTAAACTGAGTGTCAATTATCATCCCTAGGCTCAGACAGGAGCCAGCCTGACACTGGGCTTCCATTTCCGCTCTGACAGGGAGAGAATACAGCTAAATAGTAGCACACACACCGAAATCTGAGAAGTAAATTGAACTGTTATAACTTATAGGGAAGGAGTTTTAGATTGTTGCAAATGCCAAACCCAAGCTGGTTCACTTTAAGTAAACCTTACATAGTAGGTTCACGTTTTCATAATGTACAACATGGGTTTTGTGTTATTACCATCCACATCGTATACTTGGAAAAGAAAGTGAAGTTTGTCTGTTTCACTTCCATGGATCAGGAGGTTGAGAGCCTTCAATAATTCATCCAGTGTGATGGAGCCACTACCATCTGAGTCGAACAAAGTGAAGAAACGCTCTGCAAAAAAGGACTGTGAAAAGACGGCATTATTAGAAATATATAAATTTGTGCAAATCTGGAAACATTCATTGTGCTGACTCTCTCGACACATTAAATTAAATCTCGTCACCATTGATCTTATATGCATATCCAAAATTGTCTAATATATAAATATTAGTGAAATCAAGTAATCCTTAAACATCAATAGATGAACCTGTGTCTTTATTCAACCTCAAATACTATGTAACTATCAATAGATGAACCTGGAGTGTCACCTCCATGTACCAGTGGCTCACCAACCTTTTTTAACCCTACATTTAAACCTTTTCCCAGCTTTACCTTTCATTTGCCACCTATTTTTCTCTCATCCTGCTTTCCTCCTATTTTTACCACCCAATTCTCCTCAGATTATCCTGGATATACTATCTTGTATCGACATCTGAATTTTAGGTACAGTAGTCTTTATGCTCATAACCTGTTGGCATTACTTCTTCCTACATGCACATTCTGTATACATCACAGTATGTCAAATCACTTGACAGCCATACTGTACATGGTTCAATTGCAACACATCAAGCTCACGCCTGACATGATTCTCTCACTTGACTTTGGCACAAGTAGCCATACACACATATCTCTTGGTGATAGATTACAGGCCAAAGGCTGTTCCATGCCTAGTCATGTAGTTCCAGCCATCCTCCATTGTTATCTTTACCCACTCTTAGATATGTTTTCCAATGCCTTCAAAATATGCTCTGCATTGCTAACTGTTACATATAAGAGACACCAGTTCATAACTGTGCTATTATTATGGTTTAGCAGACTGGATGTGTCAGCTGATATTACAACTATCTATCAGATTAGATGTAAGGCCTGTGATAGTGCTGTACCTTGTCTTGTTGTGATAAGGTTGGCGGTCACCCCTGGTTCTCACTCATACAGGTTGTGGGACTCCAGGGTGCCTGTTTTATATGGAGAAAACTGGCTGTTCAGTTTACTCCAGGAGTGGTAAACCCTGTTACGAGTCCTAGAACATGGAGCCTTTATGGAGATTTGGGTAGGGTTGCCACCTTTTCTTCAAGCGAAACCTGAACACTCTAGCGACGCACGGACATTTTTTTTGGAGTCGCGGCTTATACATATGTAAATAGTGCCACCCATCCGTATGTAAATATCACAGTTGAGACTATTTTCAGTGGGGGGCCCCTATCTTAATTTTGTCCGCCCCTGTCTGCCTGACATCTTGTGTCCAGATTTCTGCTGCCATGAAACCCGAACACTGCATTCAAAACCCGGACTGTCCGGGTGAATCCTGGACAGGTGGCAACCCTAGATTTGGGTGGAATGAAGCCCCCAACTCTGGGTCCATGTTTTGGTGTTGACCAGCACCTTTTGATTGTGCAGCTGTGCACAGCCCTTATGGTACAGGGCCTGGCTAGTGTTCAAGGATTTACCTGGGGAGAAGAGGAGGTCTCAGCTCAGCAGTCAGGAAGAATTCTCCTAGGAATTATGGTGGAGGCCAGTACAGCAGGGAGCAACAAGGTGGGATTTGAGAGTGGAGGTCAGCATGATGTTTGCAAGACTGTTTGGAGGACACTGATAAGGGGCTGAGGATGGAGGTCAGAGCAGCAGTGCTGCAAGAGTAAAGCCAGAAGCTAAATGCATGTTTTTTTTGTAAAGAGAGATGTTGGAAAATCAATGTGAGGGCAACTGCATTATGCTTCACAAACTTTCTGTTAATAAAAGTGTTCAAGGAAACCCTAAAATGAAGTGAGTAAGTGAGTAGCTGTGTCCTTAATGCTCTACTTTTGGAAGCTAGTTCTCACAGGCCATAGAAGAGAGTTAACTGAGTAGTTAGATGACTGTGTCACTTCTAAAAATATTCTCATATGCCCCTGAGCAGGGAGAGGTATAGAGAAGCCAGTGGTTGTAAATGAGGGAATGTTGGGCTGGGGTAGGTCCTTAAGATTGATCTTTTTTTTTTCAAATAAACTTCACACTCATTTTGATTGGTAATGTCCTTACTGAACAGTGCCTATCCTCTCTCGGGGCCAGAATGCTCGCCACCTTGATATAGGAACAAACCTGGTGCATATATACCATAGTGGTGTTGTGAACACAAAGTGTTGCAGCAGTAGAGTAAGGTAGTATATAGCAGTACATGACTGACTAAGGTTTGGGAAACACTGGCCTGGAGCATTGTAAATGTTGTCTATGATATATTATTTGGTATCAGAAAGCGCTGTGAATCCTGAGAAGATAAGCCTCTCAGCTACACAAAAGGCAAAAACTACTGTTACTGGACTATATATATTTTTTGTATATGAAAACCTATTGCAGTACACTTTTTCCATTATCATTTTGTACTGCAATGCAGAAAGCTACGTTTATGAGCAGGAAGCAGAATTACTTGCAACATTTTCATGCTGTATATGAATGCCACAGTAAAATGGGGTACAGTTAATGCGTTGCGCCATTCACATGGTTCACAACTTCACTCTTCTATCTGTTACATATGTAGATGCTTACATTTGATTTAATATTATTTCTGGTATTCAGAGGCACTGGTGACGTAGCCAGGACCTCACTGTTGCCCCCTCGAGAGGCTATATCACCAGTGCCTTCCAGGGAGCACTCCTTTGTAACAAAAAATGCCTTTTCTCTTGAGATCTTGGGAGAGAAGGCATTTATTTTTTTATGAACGAGATAAAACAATACCAAACCCTGCCAAATCTCATACATCGCATGCACGAGATATAACAATACCAAACCCTGCCAAATCTCATACAGCGCATGCACGAGATAAAACAATACCAAACCCTGCCAAATCTCATACATCGCATGCACGAGATATAACAATACCAAACCCTGCCAAATCTCATACAGCGCATGCACGAGATTGGCGCAGACATCATTTTATTTCTGGCCTTTTTCAAAGCCAATTTGCTCAATCTGAATGGTCTGTCCACTCCTGGTTTACAAACCTGTTCTGCCATTTTTAAATAAAAAACAGCATTGGTGAGCAGCTTCTTCTTCCTTATTTTCTGTGACATTCCACCGATGCTCTTTTTTTTTTTTTTAAATGGCAGAATAGGTTTGCAAAACAGGGGTGAGAGGACTGTTCAGACAGGGCATATCAGCTATGAAAAAGGCTTGAAAATTTTTTACAAGATTCGGCTTCCTTAGACTTCAATGGGGTTCGGACGCTATGTCTGGGTTTTTCAGATTTTTTTCAAGTGTACGGCAAATGTCCAGTTTTCAGAACGTTGTTCGGTTAGCTCATCACTACTTACCAGTAATAAACAGATAAGCACAGCATAGGCTGCAGCAACAGCATCCTGACCAATCATTACCAAATCAGATTATAGATTCAGCTCTACTATCAACAGCAATATAATTGTATGAGATACAAATACCCGCACAGGATACCTCACAGCGTCACGCAACTCTGCCATCTTGTGGAATTTCAGTGTATATCCTCATTTTTATTTGTAAGTTATACAAGTAAAAGAAATGTTTTTTCAATTTAAACAGTTCCAAAATATTCCCCAGCAGTTACTGACAATAAAATTACCTAATAACGATTTACATTTTATTGCTGACAAATAACATCAGAGAGAGAAGTCTTAAATTGTGCAATCCATTTATACAATAACTTACATGTGAATCAGAACATATCACACATTTTTAGGTCATGTTTTTATTGCTCATGCCAATTAAATGTGTACTTGCCTACTGTGATGATATGTTCTTCAATATGGCAGGTGCAGTGCCTCCATTCCACTGGTTGTCAGTGTTTATGGTAATGGTATAGTGCCCATTTACTTAAGTGTAAAAGAAGACTAAAAAAAGAACGCCAAGTAATCATCTCAAGATTCAAAAAAAACCTTCATTGGCTTCACATATGGCGACAAAAAGATATACTCGGCCAACCTGTTTCAAGAATCCTCCTTCATTATGAACACCGAGGCACTCAGACTCTAAACCTACAGCCCTTGCAGACAATCCTATTTCTTAGGCAGGAGTGGAAATCCTTGGTGTGAAACAATCTTTATCAGCATTTGTAGACACTCGCTTATACAATACGTTGTCTGTGTACATCTTCCTGTCGCCATTTGTGAAGCCAATAAAGGATTTCTTGTTCTCTTGAGACGATTACCTAGTGCTCTTTTTTAGTCTTCTTTCACATGGACCCACAATTTGGGATTTTCATTCACTTCCAGTGATAACATTCACCAGGACATATAGCGAGTGTGAATCTCCCTAACAAGGACACAGTGCACTTTAACTTTAGAATATTTTGCCTTACGTCTTTGACTTTAAGGGCTGTCTTGAATTCCTGTAAGTCGATTTCCTTGTCTTCTCCAGCAATGCTTTCAAACTGTTTGGTTACCCATTCCAGCCATTTTGTGTCCTCGTCTGTACTCATGGCTCTAACGCTGAATGTAAGAAGAAAAATCCATGTTACATTTTCTTTCATTTAAAAAGTACAATGTTAATAATTACGGCCAGGTTCTAATTGTCAGTGTGTCTGTGACTTGTGTAAGATAAGGATTTTTGGAGGCACTTGACTGTCTGATTGAACACAGCTTCATCTTATTTCCTTCATTTTGCAAGGTGAACATTCTCCATTCCTTTTTGTAAAATCAAACCACTGAAATATTTTCTTTGTTCAACCTGAGAGCTGAACAACGAAGATATTATAGATTCCTCCATTAACGCTTATGAGCGTGGATTGACGAATACCTCACTGCTCTCATTGTATTCTGACAGCGTCCACTGGCCACTGTCAGAATACCCGAATGGAGTTAGCAGCTGATTGGCTGCAAGCTTTGGATTTACAACAATCCAAAGTTAATGCAAATCCATATCCAAATTAAATAATCCAAAATGACAAATTAAGAATAGGATGATCAGGGCAATCAGGGGTGCCTTAGCTTTCCAAGAGCAATTTGGAAACCAATCGCTGGCCAGAATGAGCAAAGCGCACTTTCACTATCGATTTCTAACAGGGGAGTGCATTTGGCATCACTCCTCCTGTGACAGGAGCTGGCGCTATAGAGGAGGCATCTGCTTATGCGGCTCTGCTCCCTCCGCTGCCGCCTTGCTTCTCCTAGTGCTGACCATTTCAAGGGCCACCTTGTGTGTTGGGCCAGCTTGTGTGTTGGCTGTAGCCCTCCTTACTTACTGGTGGCTGGCCCTGCCCCTCAATTGAGCATCCGGTTTTTGGCTCCACCCCTGGAATGCAAGGGGGTGGGGCCTGTTGGGGTCATGTGATTGGGCTAAAGCACTATCAGGGTTATTCACAAAAGGGGTGAAGAGTTTGGAGAAGGCAGGAGAAGTGAACAATCTAGGACAACATAGATAAACTGGAAAGTGAGCTAAACTGGAGATTTTTTTCCAAATCAGCTATGTTGTCCTAGATTGTTCACTTCTCCTGCCTTCTCCAAACTCTCCACCCTTTAGTGAATAGCCCTGTATATCTTCCCTAGGCCCTGTGTTGATGGGCTTTTGTTCCTTTTAGATCTACAGGAATGCAATACCTATTTGAAGCAGCTCAATTGCAGGTCAGAAGAAAGTCAATTGCAAATCAAGTCCACCTGTCAGTGATTTCTGAATGATCTCAGAAGTGTCTCAAATTGATGCCAAACTGATACCATCTACATAAACCCGAAGTCCGTGAACACAGACCATCATCATCTCTGTCTGTGTGGGTGACATTTACACATGTGCAATGTCTTCATACATTTTTATGCTCTTTTTAAAAACTGCCAGGATTTTGTTTAGGAATAACTCTTCTAAAAAACAGAACCATGGTTTGGAGTTATGTATCCAGTCTGGAAACTACTTTGTGACTGTGAATTACATTGTATATATAATCCTAAACATTATACATACTCATAACAATTTCAGAAAAACACTGAACAGCTTGAGCAGGTTTCCTGTTGGTGAGAGCACAGGTAGGATGCTGCATGAAAGGAGCCGTGTATATCTAAAAATAAAGTCACAGTGATTTGATTTATTTTGTTATTATAAAGAGACGTTTAAAGTCAAACTCCGGACATAAAAACTTTCATTTACATATATTCCTTAATATTCACAAAGGATATAAATCCACTTTGTGTGCCCCAAATGCCTTGGCAAACCCAGATATGACCTTGTAAAATTTCCCTCTGACCGGAAGTTCTGGTATCGAGGGTAAATAGCGGAGCATTTGGGTGAGTACGAGTACGGTGCATCCCTAGTTTCTAATAA